TTTTTTTTTTTTTTTTTTTTTTTTTATCGTAGCCATCCACTGGGTGTGAAACGGTAGGTTTCACAGGTTTCGTCGCAGGTTGGTTTAGGTCTTCTGGTAACTAATGACCTGTTTAGTCATTGAAAGCCATTTTAGTCATGAAAACGCTGGGCCTCTTTTCATGTGCTTCTTGGTATATGCTCTTGGGAGAAATGTCTATCCAGATCTTTTGCCCATCTTTTAATTAGGCCGTCTTATTGAGTTGTAGGAGTTCCTCACGTTCTAGGTACAGACCCCTTGTCAGACACCTGACTTGCACGTGTGCTCCCCCGTTCTGCGGTTGGTGGTTTTGCTTTCTTGATGACATCAGCCTTTTTCTTAATTTATTTTATTTTATTTTTTTAGCAGGAGCCTTTTATTTTATATTTTTTCCAGTTTTACCAAACTATAGTTGACATGTAACATCGTATACGCTTAAAGTATACAATGTGATGACCGGATACATGCACGTGTTGCAGAATTGTTGCCACAATGAAGCTGGTTAACAGCAATATTGTTTCACATAATTCCCTCGCGTGTGTGGTGAGAACATCCCAGAACTGTCTCGGCATCTCAGGTAAACGGTACACGATACGGTATTTCAACCGCGGGCCCACCGCAGTACCCTAGATCCCCAGCACCGACTCGTCTCACGACTGGAAATTTGTACCACGTGACCAACATCTTGCCATTTCCTCCACGCCCTTCTCCTGTCTGTTTCTAGATGTTTGGTTCTTTTCGATTCTCCGTGTAAGTTAGGAATATACAGTAAGAAGTCTTTTTTTTTGCCTGACTTCACCGAGCGTAATTTCTCAGGGTCCGTCCACGTTCTCACAAATGGCAGGATGTCCCTCTTTCTCGCGGCTGAATAACCGTCCATGGCATGGCTCCACCACACCTTCTTCATCCGTCAGTGGACGCTCAGCTGGTTTTCGTGTCCTCCCTTCGAGAAGGAAGCTGCGGTGAACACGGGAGTGTGGACGTCTCTTCTGTTTGCGTTTCGTTCGGATGTTTACCCAGAAGTGGTTGCTGGATCGTGTGGTAGTTCTATGTTCAATTTTTTGAGGACCCTCCATACTGTTTTCCACAGCGGCTACACCCGTTTGCATTCCCACCAACAGTGCACGAGGGGTCCCTTTCCCCACCCTCACTGACACCTGTTACCAGCTGTGCTTTTGATGACAGCCTTTTAAGAGGTGGGACGTGATACCTCATTTTGGGTTTGATTTGCCGTTGCCTGGTGATGAGTGATGTTGAGCGCCTTCTCACGTTCCTCTTGGCCATCTGGATGTCTTCTTTTGGAGAATGTCTAGTCAGGCAGTTGCCCATTTTTAAATTGGATTCTTTGGTTTTTTGCCATTGAGTTGTAGGAGTTCTTTACATATTTTGGATATCAATCCCTCACCTGATAAATGGCTTGCAAATATTTTTTTCGCGCTCTTGTAGGCTGTCCTTTCACTTTGTTGATGGTTTACTTTGCTTTGTGGAAGCTTTTTAGCCGGTGTGGTCCCACTGTTTATATTTGGTCTTGTTGCCCGTGGTGTGGGTGAGACTCGCATCGAGGAGCTTTATTGTCGTGTTTCCAACTGGGAGCTTCTGGATTTCGCGTCTTTAATCCATTTGGAATTATTTTTGTGTGCAGTGTAAGACAGGGGCCCACTTCTTTCTGTATATGGCTGTCCGGTTTTTCCAGCGTGGTTTGTTGAAGAGACCATCTTTTCTCCTTTGTGTGTTCTTACCTCCTTTGTTGTAATTGACCATATATGCATGGATTGACTTCTGGGCTCTCCATTCTGTCCCATTGATCTGTGTCTGGTGTTTGTTTGTTTGTTTGTCTGCCTTAAGTGGTCTCTTTGCCCATCGTGGGGCTTGAACTCACGACCCCGATTGCACACTCCACCGTCTGAGCCAGCCAGGGGCCCTGATATGTGTCTGTTGTTATGCCAATGCCATATAGTTTTGGTTACTAAAGCTTTGTGATACAGTTTGAAATCAGGAAGCGAGATTCTTGATCCAGCTTTGTTCTTGTTCAAGATTGCTTTGGCTATTTGGGGTCTTTTGTGGTTCCATACAATTGTTTTTTCTGTTTCTGGTGAACAATGCCCTTGGAGTTTTGATAGGGATTCCAGTCTGTACTTGGCTTTGGGTAGTGTGGACATTTCTTCTGCATCAGCTCTCGCGATCCGTGAACGCAGAATAGATTTCCGTTAATTGTGGAGTCTTCGATTTCTTTCATTGGTTTCATACAATTGTCAGGATACACTGCTTTCATCTCCTTGGCTACATTTATTCCTAAGTATTTTATTTTTGATGCAGTTGTAAATGGGATTATTTTCTTTGTTGTTGTTGTTGTTGTTGTTGTTGTTCACGTTGTTACTGTATAAAAATGCAACAGATTTTTGTATGTTGAATTTGTGTCCTTTGTACCGAATTCATTTACTAGTGACAGTTCCTTGGTGGGGGAAGCTGAGCTCTTCTCGTAGATCTCGTCCCCTGTGTCAGCACAGCTGTGTTTCTGACAGCGAGCATCAGGACCATAGTCTTTGGTTTCACGGTCAACTCTGGCCGCAGCAGGACAGTCCATGTGAGCACCAGCCTTGACTGTTCCCATCCTCCAGATGGCGATGAATTGCCCTCACTAAATTTGCTGTATTTTTTCATACTTTCCTAACATTGGGCAAAGCGATGTTTCGACAGAACGTTCAGAGTGAATCACACACCCTAGATGCAGAAACAGTTCATTCTCTGGAAGACCGCTTTGACGGATCTTTATGTTGCCGAAACCGCCGTTTACCTCACCGTGAAATTCATCACTTCATTTGAAGTGCAAAGCTTGATTTTGATCTTCCTGCTCTCGGTCCCTGGAAACCCCTCTGCCCACACCACCGCTGCACTCTTCGTGCAGCCTGGGCCCTGGCCACCCTCCGCCCCTGCTGGGCCCCCGGCGTCTCTGGGACTCTGCTCCGACATGGCTGCTCAGAGGGGCCTCCCCACCCACCCCTGTCTTCGCTCCCTGCTTGGTAGATCCTCACGGCTGTCGTCGCTCCCCGATGTCACATTGTTCTGTTCACGTGTCTGTTAGCCTGCGCTGCCTTCTAAAGCGGGATCCCCAAGGGGGCACCGTGGCAGCAGGTCCCGTCTCAGAGCCCGGCACGGAGCTCGAGCCCACAGACCCTCGATGGTGCTGTGGAGTTGTTCTGGATTCGGTAGCAGCCTGCATTTTGCCCCGTCTGTCGCCGTGAGTGTTGTAAGGTGGACAAAATCGTAGGCTGAGTTCTGCAGAGAGGACTAATTCAGTCTGCTTTCCAGATTCACGAAATGGCTGTTTTCGTGCACATCCACATCCCTGGTCTTAGAAGGAGAAACACAAGAAAGACGGACAGATGATGTGATGTCTAGGATGTGTGGACTCCCAGATCACATCAGCAAGTCCGTTCTCGTGGTTTGCTGGTTTATGAGCGAATTCACTCATGTTTACTCTGACGACCAACTGCCTCTCTCCACTCCCTCCGCTGACACGCCCTGCTCGTCTCCAGGAAGCCAGGTAGCTCTTCCAAGTTGGAGGTCTGTTCTTCCGGCACAGGGACCCTTTTATACCTGAGAGCATCCTTTTAGAGAGAGTCCGTTGGAGAACAGCTGCACCGGTGGCTGTGTCTGTCTGTGCTTGGGACTGACTCCTGGGACACAACGCCCGCCTGCCACTCATTCCCGGTCCCGGTGCTGCCCGACCCCTGCAGAGGAGGTGCCCACGCGAGCCCAGCGAGACTGCGCTAACAGCAGTGGCGTGAGTCGGCGTGGCCCCCGGGCGCCAGACGCCTGTGCAGAACGGCCTCGCACACAGCCTGCGTTTGCACAACCCGGGATCTTCAGGTGAGGGCCGGGGTCGGTGAGAACACGGCTGAGCCCGCAGGGCAGGTTCAGGAGGCTTGACTGAGTGGCTTCTTCCTGAAAGGAGGTGCGGCTTCCTCACCAGACCAGGCAGGCGTGCCCTCCACTTGTTTCTGCCTGGTTTGCTCCCTTCTGTTGGGCTCACGTTCCCCCCCCCACCCCCCCTTTTCTTGCCTGGACTCTCACTTTCGCTCCTGCGGACTGTCCCCCACAGGACTTCTGCTGACGGCAGGGACACGTGCACCCTGTCCCTTGGTCAGGATTCAGCCTGTCTCACTGGTGCCGGGGAGTCTTGCACCCCATTTTTGATCACTCTGGCTGGAACCCTGCTGGCGCTGCGACCAGCCCGAAGGGCTAGGGTTTCACCAGAGCAGAATTTCCAACCCGGCCCTCCTATTTCCTTTTCCTGTGACCAGCCAGAGCCGGTGTGACTGCTTCTTCGGGAGGAAGCTGAATTTCCCTGCGGTCGTATGTTTGTGCGATCTCCCTGTCGTCGAAGAGTTTGTTTACTTAGCCCAGGGCAGCTTGGGGATTTTACAGCAGCAGCTGGACAGAAAGGGTTCTCCTCGCCTGAAATACGAGACAGACACGGTCACGTTCAGAGAGTCCGGTGGGAAGCTCTCGTCTGCGCAACCAGGGGGGCCGTGTGCCGGAGCGGATGTCGCACCGCCCCGGTCCTCGCAGGGCCCGGTGGACGTGACGGGAGTAGGCGATGAGCTCAGTGCGGTGGTGGCTCTCCCGTCTTGTCTGCAGCCGGCACGGGCGCTTTAAACCCAGAGCCCCGTTACCCAGCAGAGGGCACGGGCACGCAGCACGGCAGAGCGAGCTGTGGGTGAGAGCTGGCAGTGGCGCTCTGGGCTCCCGGTTTCTTCCCCCCGCCCGTCCCGAGCTGGTCTGCTCTGACACGGCACCTGGTGAGCTGTCGGGGTCTCTTGCCAGCTTTACTCTGGGCCTCGTAGGCCAGACGCGGTGTCGCCGTGTGCGCAGATGTGTCCCTCTCCGTTTAGCTTGGCCTTCTGTAACTGTGCCTTTCGGGGTCCCTGGCCGCTCCTGCATCTGGGCTATTTATAGACTAGACTGGAACCTCGTAAGCAGTCGTATGGGACGCCTCTATGTAAATAGAGGGAAACCCCTTTTGTGAAACCTTCTAATCTTTACAGCCGAGCCAGTGGGTGTGCTCTGGGCGGGGCTGAGGCGGGTCATGAGGATGTGCTTTGGCACAGGCAGATTCAGGCCATCCCAGATAAAAACAGCAGCTGACATCTTCCTGGAGGGATTGCCCAGACCGCCTGTTACCGCGAGAGCCGCGCACGGTTGAGGGGTGGTGCCCCTTGGGGTGACATGGCAGACTCCTCGTTTCCTGGGAGGGAACCTCTGCCCGCCTCTCCACGTCACCCAAAGCCTACGCTCTCCTCAGGGGGGGTCCTTGGCGTCTCGGGGCACGAGAGGCCTGTGCGCGGCCCATCAGTGTCCGGTCAGAGGCACATTGCGGGGTCCGTGAGCCCCCCACAGAGGCCTGCTCTGGACTCGCACCGGCCCGGAGCAGCTGGCTTGCGGCTGGGCCCCCGCCCTGCGTGTGTCTGAGCAGCTCAGGCTGCCCTTTATTCGCAGAAACCACACGTTGGGTTTCCCTCTGCTTTTGGTGACGCTCCGCTCCCGCCCGGCCAGCGCCCGTGCCCATCTGCCCGGCCTCCCGCCGCCCGGCCTCGGCCTCTCCCCACCTTCCACGGCCTCCATGGCACACTCTGTCGGGTTCGTGAATTTGAACGTGACAGGTCGTGGCCTGTGTGCCGACGACCACACCCGGACGACCTGGCCTCCCGCTCCGCTCCCAGCCGTGTGACGCTTCTTGCTCCGCGACC